ACGGACTTCAACAAAAATTTAAAGAAATCATACCTATAGTTAATCACGAGAGCCTCTACTACTAGTAGAAATTTCAGAGCGTTTACTTCTGTTACTACGAAAAAATGGATCTTAGAAGATTCAAAATTGAAATTCCGTAACGAATGGCCACGCCCATATGTGAAAGTTCTAACACAAATACACACTCATAGAAAGGTTTATAATTAATTGCCTTGATTGCGTCTTATCTTGAAATGCATCCGTCGTTTTGTATTAATCTTCACAGTTAAGAAACTATTAAAGACACCATTTAGTGTAGATGTACAGAAAAAAGGATCATCAGATAAAGCTCAAAATCTATCATTCTGTGTAATGATTTTCAAGTTTGTATGTTGAGAAGGTTCATGTTTCGACTCGCACCTTCTTGTAGTTAGTACTACTATGACAACCGATCAAACTTTGCTGATGGCTAGTTTCATAAACAGGTGTAAAACGAACTTTCTCTTCGTCATTGTTTTCTGCTTGAAAATAGCAAGAATCAACGAGAAGGAGAAGAGAGACCTCAAAAAATTACAAAATTAGTTGGCTCCTGCATTGAACGATCCCCTATTGTACAATGTCATCAGGCAAGTCGTCGTGCTATAACATATAAGCATGTACGGCATGTGGCGAGAGAACATTATCGAGTGTCTTTGACTAACAAGAAAAAAAGAGTAAAATGTATTTCTTTTCCTCTTTTTTGAATTATCTTTTGGATTTTCTAATTTTTAGTCGATATATAGTGTGGGTTGGAAGAGCGACCTAGGTACAGTGATGAAGTTCGGAGTGAAATTACTCTCATCAAACGCTGACAATCGATCTGCACTGGTATATCTTCAGATGATCGAATTGTGTATGCCAAGGTGGTTTTTAGCCAATGGACTCTAAATCGACCAATTAAGCGACTTTTTAATGAAACAAAAATCCTTTACAATATGTGTACTTTTCTCTTTTGAATTTACTTTTTTCTTCAACCTATCAGCGGAGAAAAATACTAATCTGATCCGTTTCGTTTCTTTCTTACACATATAAAAAAAACGCGTGTTTTCAATGACAAATCATTATTTCTCTTATGCGAAGCTTTAACAATGCAATCTGTCAAATGCATTGACGCAATCTATACGACGATTCGAAGCAATCATAGGTGACGTATTAGTTAAAAAAGACCAAAAACAAGTTTTGAAATATTTCTTTCAGAGCAGAGCACATGATAAGGACGATTGAACGCAATAGGAGAAAATGAAATGGATGTGTTGATAGTTATTTCGTAAAACATATTTCCTTTGGATAATGCAAGAAAAACGTTACAACAACCTACTATTATATCACGAAAATACCTCAATGATTTTCTCACTCTATAGTGAGTTTTTTTTTAACATGCAAAGAAAATGTTTTTACCGGCAAGAGAGTTCACAAAATAGTAAAAAAGTTCTGTAAGGTATTCTCGTGATGTAATAGTGCATTGTTCATGTTTCCGATGTAACATTGACACATGTTTATAGAAAAGTTTGATATTCTTCGAAAAGAATGATTCTGAAAAATTCCTTTTATTGTCTATGCTATGACTTAGAATTTGCTTGTCCAGTACGGTCTAAAATAACAGTTGATTTGTACACCAGCAAGAAACATAACCATATATTTTATTAATGAATTATAAATATGATATATGGTTGTTGAACATCAAATAGAAATCGAATATTTGAATATATACATGTTTAATGAAACGTTTTTCTTCATATCTGATAGAGAACCGAATCAATTTCAAAGCCAAACAATCCAATTGTTGTCTTCACGAAATGCCAAAAATGGTTTCGATCGCCATTTTAATATTGTTTTTTCAATAATCCAGGAGTTGATATCGGGCTTTACATTATTATTTCTATCGATCCAGTTTGTTTTAAGTAGCATGAGATGAGGAAGATGTTGATTATCAAGTAACATATCGAGACTATCAAAATATTCTTTGCTCATTTCAAATTGAATTTTCAGTGAACGAAGATTTGAAAATATCGCACGAGTAACATGATGGTTTGCAATGAAGATATTTGAATATTGTCGAGATTTAAATGACAAATATTTAGATAAATAGTCGAATGCGTAGAAGATTTAGGCTTTTCAATTAATGTCAATGTATGAATGTATTGCCCAATCATTGAAACAATTTCTATATTTCTAGTTGTAAGATGACGAAGTCGAGGAAAACTACCAGAACTAAACTCACATTTGCATAAAATTGTGAGTGTATTGATTTTCGGAAAGCGTTGAGACAAATTTGAACATGGTTTGTCAACTGTAAGATCAAGAACATTGGGACAAATACTCATCGTATCCTCATTGGCCAACATTGATGTTTCCAATTCTTTGAACGACCAAGGTACCGTATACAAATGACTGTAAAAACCGTTGGACGGCTTTCCACACGCAATCTGCCATCGTTGATTAAATCCAACAAAAGTCTAAATTCAAAAAAAAAAACAAGTAATAATTAGCAACGATATTGATGAAACAGAGATTAAACTGACCGTCATATCAATATAACATTCTGTTCGAATATGACAATGGAAATGTTGAAGACGAGGCATGAACTGATCTATAATCATTTCAAGTTGATGACCATGCACAAACATATAATCAGGATGTGTCCAATTTTTTATATCGATTATTAATGTATCGATTTGACTAAGAAATTTGACAATATTGAAAAAATATTCATATCTCATTTCTACTTCCTGTTTCGTAGTCAATCGAAATTTTGTTAAATGAACCATTGGAAAAATGTTCGATTTGAATGGTAATAATAATCGACGACTGACATGATCAGTGCATAAAGTAACATCAACTTCAATCAAATTAGGTACAAGACCATCAAGTAGAACGAAAAGATCGTCGATTGTTCGTAATGAAATAGTTAGCCGTTTGAGAAGCAAATTTGAATGTAATTGTTTATCAAGAATTATGCCATCGTTTACTATCAATTCAATTTCGATAATTTTAGTGAACTGCATACCAAAAACTATCTCACGAAGCAATTCATGTGTGAAATGGGTCATTGGATAATTGTTTTTCGACATATTTTCAACTAGACAAAATGATTGTAAAGAAGAAAATGGTTTAAGATGCCAATTGATCATTCCCATTTCGGATCGATTATAATCGATCAATGATAGTTGCTGAACATGTGTACAATCAGAACATTCCATTGCTGTTAATTTTGTTGAAAAGAAAGTTCTAATTTGATTTGGAATCATTTTATTACTAATTATTAGTGATGATGGTAAAATTCGTCGAGCAAGAAATTCAGTAAAAATATATTGCATATCCATATAAGAATAATTTGTTAAATTGATTCATGTATAATAATCAGAAATACACATCGAATAACGGTAGCCTAATTTAAGAAAAGCATTCAATACATCCATCGGTTTTAAATAACGACAAATGATGAGTAAAAGTTCATTAGGCAAATCATCGAAACTAGTTATACGTCTGTGATTTAATTGTTCAGAAACTATCGTTCGTTGTACTATAAAAAAGAAAATATATATGTTAGGATGAAATATTTTCAAATGTACTTACTTTTGAAACATGGCTCAATATCTTCAGGAATGATCATGGTTGAATGGCGTTTGTTATCAAAACATCGACAGCATGTACAATCAGATCCTAAGTATATGTATGAGAAGTTCTACATATATTCGTAAATATATAATGCTTGTGANTCGTAGAACATCCGCTAGCTTTGAAAGTTGGGCACTTTTTATGTTTTGAATAATATTCATTTAGCGTTTCTCCTGAACTTTCTACAGAAATAACTTTAATTATGGTTTTGTAGAGAATTTCACGGCGCATCTTTTGGTAAAACAAGCAACTCTAAAGATCAAAAAGAAAAAAAGTTATAGTCAAAATACTGAGACCTTCATTTATTCTGGGCCACCCGTTATGTTAAGATAAGATCAACATCTACATATAGGATACTCTAACATTAGTCAAGTACTTGTTAATCATATTATTTAATTGGAGTTTGTCTAATCTTGCAACCTCTAGAATTAGAGGTGCGATGGAAAATTTTGATTGGTTTGATGTTGATAAATTTTTGATCAACTGTGTATCATCAGCTATCCTGCCTTAATGCGACTATCACGACATTCAATACACTTATCTGAACCATCACGTCTTCTCTTTGGAAGCATTTCAGAAATCAACCGAAAATCATCTGTAGTGCTCTTGATGACCTATCATTTCATAGATAAAACAGTTTAAATAGCCATATATAGAAAAAAATATATATGCAAAGCAAAGTATGAATTTTTTTTGAAATAGCTGTCTATTCATACCTAATAACCTCCTCGATAGTCATCACGTGGAGAAGAAAGAAACAAAGAACTTGTTATTCTCATATGTAGAGAGAATGTATACAAAATAAAAGAAAGAAAGAAATACATTTGTCAGTACGCATTGATCGTTGTATTAGGCAAACTATGAAATATATAACAATAATAATCTTTCTTATTTTAGATTATTTTATCTGTATTATTACAATGGCTTCATCAGCGATTTCAAATGTTGTCAAAAGTGATCATCATACAGTTAGCGAACTTTACAAAGTTTGTTAATTATTCTTATTATTAAAAATATAACTAGTACTGTAAATCTTAGAATTATTTATTGGCTGAAGGAAATATTGCTACTAAACAAGAATATGCTCTAAAATTTCAAGAAGAATTAACAAAACATAGTACTGCAGAAGAAACTGTTCTTTATCCAGCATTTGAACAATACCTTGGTTTAGAAGGAAAAAGAATAGCTGATCAAGATCGAAAAGAGCATGAAACAGTGTGTTTTCGCCATTTCTTTCCTTCTTTTTTTGTTTTATTTTTTAATTTATAGGTTAAACAACTTTTGTCTCAACTTGCATCAACATCTGTATCTGATCCAAAGCATCGTATTATATTTGATGAACTTATGACTAAGTTAAATGAACACGTAAAAGGGTATTTTTTGCCAAATATTTGTTATTTTTATAAATAAATGAAAAAATTTTTAGAGAAGAAACAAATGATTTACCTAAATTTGAAAATGCCATAACTCCTGATTTAAGTGCATCATTGGCTTATTCATTTCGACAAGCAAAATTATCCATACCTGTCTAGTACATTTTCCTTTCTTGTCGCTTCCAATTGTTGTTCATATTTGTTTAGATGATTTTCTAAACTCATTGCTCATCAATGGATTTTTGTAAATAATTTTTGATCTGCTATTTATTTCCATACGTTACACTATGTTCATTGTATTGTCGATATTTATTCATGCTTTATTTACTTGTTTTTATTTTTATATAATAAACTAGCTTTTTGCTTATGAAATGAAATATAAGTTTTTATATTAAAAAAGGATACATATTTAAGAAATTCTATTGAATAAAAAAAGTATAGCAAATGTAAGATTTAAGTTGGAGTGTCACAACTCCCCCATTATAGTTATTGGTGTCAAAGGTCATTGGGTAGACATTTAAAGTTATCGAGAAATAATCATCATCAGACTCTGCAACAGCTGAGAGAAACACTGAATTGCATTAGCAGCAAAACTAGGATTATTCTTGAAGACGTGTATAGATATTCGAAATAATGGAAGTTTTGATCTTTTCAAAGATAAAAGTTTATATTTAAGGTATCAAGAATAATTAGTATTAACGCATTGATTTACTACAATCGTCCTACGAGCAATTTAAAAAATGACTAAAGTTTAACTATTGAGAAATAATCAATATCAGAGTTTTGCCGAAAAGAGTAGTACAAAAAATATTTAGATTACTGTTTATATTGCTAAGAGGTTTTTTGCAAGAAACTTTGGAGGCATTCTCAGCATCGTTCTTATACATAAGAAATGAGTTGTTCTGTTAAAATGAAGTTAAAGTATGCTGTGCGAAAATCGATATTGAACTAGTGAGACAAATAGTGAGAGAAATATTTGTAACTTTGTAGATTGATGTGGGTGTGGTTATTCTGTTCACCCATAGATCTACGCCCACAACCTGCACTGACATACACCCACATTACAATAGCATTTTCTTTCTGAATTTTTTACATCAGAGAATTTCGAATATTGAATCACATTAATATTTATTAAATGATTCAGCTTTTGGAAAGATTCCCTCATCAGTTGCTAGATCGCTTTTCCTTCAAAAATTGACTTTGGTCTAGGCACATTGAAATTGCATGAAATTTTCAGTCATATAATACCAAGACGTTTTCGAAAAATACTCAACTAATAAAGATCCATTATAACTTATTTAGCAAGTCTCAATTTCCTGTGAGTTCTCATTTTATAGATTTAACTTGTTTAGTATTTGAAAGAGTATGTCAGATTGCAACACCTGACGAAATCTTTGCTTTTAAACTTGTACTTTTTTTTTTGCAGAGAAAATTTTAATCATTTAAAAGTCTTTTTGGAATGTTATTTGTGAACAAATAGAACGTCTTAGAAAAAATTTGAAAAAAGTGCTTTTGTTTCAATCTCAACACTATCACCGAACGTTTCAACAACTATTTTCCGATTTTATCTTTATATAGCAACCAAAATAGGTCATATACTTCCTTTGGTTTCAACGAAAACGCGACCATGTTAGATGTTTAAATTCCATATAAATGAAAATTTATATAAAACATTTTATTTTATTTTTCGAAAACATTATATAAAATACATTTGCATGTAGAACAGAAAATGAAAGATGAAGAAAGAATGTATACAGAATCATATTAAAAAAAAGATAATACTTTTTTTTCAGGCGAAGTAATTCATTATGATCTTAGAAAATGTTCAGTTTTGTGCATTGAAATCTATTTGCAGGAAGCTAGACATACTATTCGTTTGTTTTTATCATGGAATATAAAAATAATTAATTTCTAATTGTGAAACTATCAAAAAATCTCAGCTTTTGACAGAACATTTATATATCTCAGTAAAGAAAAATACATAAATCATTTTCAAAAACAAGAAAATAATCGATAATGATCATTGAATTATTTCTTCAATTGTCGATAATCAAATGAAGAGTCCACCTGAAGACGTTCAAAAAGAACATTTGGGATTTGTACTAATTCAAATAGTGATTTGCCATTACGCATAGCTTGAACTAAATTTAATATTTGTCTACGCATTACAGATGATTGTCATTCATCTAATCGACAATCATAATTGTTATCTTGAAAAAATAAATGTTGAATTCCATCATATAATTCATGTTGAAAAAAATTCATATCAGATATAAATCATAGAACATGAGTAATTGTTTCATTAGAAAGTGGTACTTTAGCCTTTTTTAACCAAGCCTAATGAAGTGGATGTGCATGCGATTTATGTGGATGTTTATATGACGATGCCAGACCATTTTTAATAGCTGCTATAGGAATATAATCTAAATAATAAAAATATATTTGAGTAAAATCATCTGTTAGCGACGTGACTTCATAAAATTAACATATGTGTATCTTAGAATAATGAACTTTCTTTACGCTCATTTTTATATGTTAGTGGTACATCTATTGAATGTCTCAGATAAAATAAACATCTCCATACTTTCATATTTCTTTTAATATTTATTTGTTCATATTTATTTTCTAAGTAAGATAAGGTAGAAATGCGTTCCAAAATCTCTATGTTATTTCATTGATGGATGTAAAATTTTACGTATTTGTCTGATGAAATGATTAAGCTGGCAGTTTAGCATATTGATGAACAAAATCTCACATTCATCATCATGATCCGTAAGTCATCAAATAATCCAGATTTAAATACATTGAACTATTCGGTTTGTAACAAATTCTTTTATGAAGAATTAAGAAGCGGATCTATTAAATAAAGATTGAGTCTGAGTTAGCGTATACTTTGATATGTTCTCTGGATATCTTGGGATTATCTCAAATATTTTATGTAAAAAATAATCGTATTCCATTTTAGAATATACTCTCACAAAACTAAGCTAAAAATATTTGAATTTTCCTCAGACTTAAAACAAACTAAACAGTGTTGCATAGAATGACACTTAGAATTTTCAGCTTATCAATTTTCCTCAATGTAAATCGTGCTGATCTATGGCTGGAAACTCTATTGAATCTAAAACAACAATGTACTTTACGCATCAATTAGAGCCATTTCTATTGTTTGGTCAATATTAAATGAAATTAAGTGTACATGATAAGATATTATTTTGTTTTTGACTATTTTCATAATGTTTTCTATTTGTATAATTTCAGTCAAAATCTTATATCAAAAGAATGTTCTAACTAATTATCTTGAACACTTTTTTTTTATATTTCAAGTTTTTTTAATCAACTGTCTAGCTAGATAATAATAAAATCAAATATTAAAAACATATCATGAAAATGTTCACAAAAAGATATATTACATTATTCACTCGATTTTATCCAATTTTTGAAGTACACTGAAGGATATAAATAACTCTACTTCAAAGAGAAATAGGTATTGAAAATATCGAAATTATATTGTCTATTAGATTATTGAAATCTTAGCTTTCTCAAATGCTACTATTTAAAAGATATCGATCATTCAATGATTTAAATAAAATTACACAGCCTTTTTCAGAATTAACAAGCTCGAGTATAGTTTACTCTCTTCTTCGTACAAAAGATATCATGCATATGTTATTCAATATATCGTCTATATAATGACTAGTTGTATATTTTTCCATTTATATTGAGCGCTAATGTGAGTTACTTGTCTATAGGTAGAAATTGATCTAAAATTGATTTGAAACATATCTCATTATTCTATTCAAAATGAAGAATGGAACAGATTTTTTTCGTTTTTTTTAGCAAATTGCTATATATGACTGTTGTCTCAAAATCTGTTAGATGTTAGTTGTTTACATAACAACTAATGATGAAATCTAATTCTCAATATTATTACGAATAAATTGAAAAAAATTAAAGTATTGTTCATTTAACTCGGAAAGATACGAGAAGAAAGGAGATGGATCTATGGAGTTGTCATTAATGAAAATGAACGAAATTTCTGTGAACCTGTTATTGTCATTATTGATGTGATTCGTTAAACTTACACACGTTATTACAGACTTTAGTCTCACTAGCAGTGTTTCTTAAGTGAAAAGTTTGTCAATATTAGTACAGCGATCAAACTTGGCAACTTGATCAACTTTCAAAGGAATTTTCTTTCAAAATTGATAGAAAAAAAGAAACTATTATTAACTTTTACAATAATATTAACAGATTAGAATCTTCAATAGATCGTTGATTATCAGCAATATAAAGAAAGAAATAGTAGAACCAAGCATATACCAGAGTGAGAGTTCAACTTTTTATTATTATAAATTGTTCATTGAGGATAATACTATACTAATGTCATCTTATATTGTCTGAGTAACAATATTAAATAGTCATCTTTAGTAAAGTGTCGTTATTGAAACTAATAACATCTATTGTTCATCAATGTTTTCGAGAAAATTCATTGATATGTAAAACAATGATCGTCAATAATTTTCACAATACATATTTAGGAGTAGGTGTCGGCGTGAGCGTTCTCTTCATCTACACTCACACCTTCTTTCAACTTTGGTGTCTCTTCGAATTCAAGCCTAGATCTTGGGTCTGGATGTGGGTGTGGGTGCGCAAGTCTACAATAGTTACATCCACGCCCACGCCCACACCCACACCGACATCCACACACCCACCCACACCTACCCACCCATACCCGCAATGACTATCTAAAAAACGATAGATATTATTGACAATTTACTTTAGATTTTCTTATTGATATGACATTAAATAATTCTTAGCATGTGTACGATAATACTTCGCTTTTAAAAATACAGGAAAGAAGCTCTTTTAATTAAAAATACTTTTCAATGTTTTAATGTACGGAAAGATGATAGAAATGTTTATTATATTTCATCTTAAAAATTTTACTAGATTTTTTATATAAAAAAAAGAAATTGAGAATAAGAGAGACTTGTCTGTTATAATTATGCTGATAGAAGTTCAAAATATGTTTTTTTTAAGGAAAGGATTCTGGATGATGACAACGATGTCTTTGTTTATGAATCATTCAAGATCTTAATACATGTACTTCATAAAAAATAGTATCCTATTTGAAGGTTTTACATTGCTCTAGTTTGATACGAATCGATAGTAAAGAAATATTATCTTTGATCAGAGTTAACATAGAATCTTATTCGACCTTATTTCAAAAAAAGATTTTCAACCGAACTTGAAAATAGTTGTTGATGAAGTAAAACTTTGCTTGCTTTAGATTCTATTTTTTCAATATTTAGGATACTTTTGTCAATTAGTCAACTATAGCAAAATTAAGTCTTGACAGCTTGACCTCGAGAATTTTTTTTATAGCAGTCTTAGATTCGACTATTGATTAGTAAACAATTGTTATATGTGTTTTTGTGACAATGTGAATATCTTCACTACACTGATTATAGTTGGAAGAGTAACTTATATTGTTTGTTTTAAGTGCATCAGTCAAATGTTGTGTTCCATTATCTCCAATTTTAATCATATGAAGACTCAAATACGTGAGTGCCTATGATGAAAAGTTAAGAATATTATGAAAACTGCATGAGTTGCCTAATTCGAGTTCGAAAATAAATGGAGAGCGAAGAGTCTATTATAACTTCGAAAATAAATGAAACAAAATCGAAGTCATGTTAAAATAGCGAAACAGCAAAAGATAAATTTTATATAAATTATAATTTATAAATTTTACATATATATGTAGTTTGAAACTTGCAGTGAATTGAAATTTCAAGTTTCAACTGTCAAGTTTCAAAGGAATAGTACTCTAAAGAATCGCGAGTCACAGACATTTTCACACACACACATGTCATCGCGGGTAGTGTGGGTGCGGCGAAGGGAGTTTCATCAGCGTCGACTGGCACACATTCACACGCACATTATCGCATCTGGTGTGGGTGCGGCGAAAGAAGTTTCATTAAAGTCGAAAGACACACTTTTGTAGACAAACATCATTGCATCTGGTGCGGTTGTGGCTAGAGGAGTTTCATCAAGATCGATTCGTACACACTCATACACACGCATCATCGCAGCTTGTGTGGGTGTCGTGAAGGGAGTTTCAGCAGTGTCGACTCAAACACATTCGCACACGTCACGTCGCAGATTAGGTGCAGGTTTGAAAGCTGAAATTTCGAAGTTGAATTCCCGTTGATGCCTATATTTCAATTGAATTCAAGTTTTAAGTTTCACGCTCCTGTCGAATTCTTTCAGTCACGTAAGTCTCGCAAAATAGGGTGTGGGTGTGGGTGTGGGTGTGGGCATATATGTCAAACCTGAAAGTTGAATTCAATTATTGAAAATATCCTTCAACTATTCTTTTTTTCAATAGTTGAAGTTCAATTATTCGTTTTTTGCAATAGTTGAAGTTCAATTATTCAATTATTCTTTTTTCACATTATTAAGAGTGAGAATGAATGAAAAGGGAAGCAATCATTCTCATTTTGTGCTTCGTGAAGTATAGTCACATATTTCTTTTTTTTGTTATCGTTACATTCTTTGTGCATCTGCCTCTCTAAGTCGATACGTGAGTACCGATGGCAGAGGCAATTAATATTGATCCTAATGAGGATCTTCATTCTGGAAAGGAATATGAGACAATGGAACAAGGTTCTATATCAAATGTTCAGGTTGAACTTATATCAAGATTTTTGTCGGAGTGTCCGCAAGCAGCTTTAAATGTACACAAGTACTTGCAGAAAAATTATTCAAAGTCAAATCAGCAACAACAACAAATCATGCAACCAGTGAATTCAACACCGAAACGTGGTCATCCACTAGATGAAAGCGGAGGTTCGATCAGCAACGCAAGAGGTCTTCGTAAATATCCTCGAAGGGGTATTGACAATAATGCACATAAGTACTCACATAATGTACAACCAGAAATTAATTTACAAACACAGCTACCATCGTCATCAACGTCGTCAGATGTAAGACAACATCAAGAGATAAATCAAGATAATAAGAATCGTAAACGAATTTCTTTTAATCAACTGAAGCACGCGGTATCGTCTAACTTACCATGTTTTTTTATTGAATTCACCTCGGATGCGGATCGTAATAGTATTCCAACAGCTCTTCATGCAAGTGATCTTATACTGAAAGAACTGCAAACCAATGGTGTTTTAATCAATAGGTTTACATTAGTAGGATGGGCAGGAAAAAAGCTAAAGTTAGGTGTTAATAATAAAGAAGATTACGCTACTCTCGTCAATTCGGATAAATGGCCAACAAAGATAAATGGAATTGATATTGTGGTCGTGAAACCAAAATATATACCTGATTCATTCGCTCTCGTCGTCCGTTATGTACCTAGGGAAATAGATGAAAATTTTGTTTCAAATGAAATTCAGCGAACAATTGCTTCTGCAGATCGTATTAAACGTATTCATTATTCATACCAAAGAAGAACAGATGATTATCGATTCGATGTGAAAGATTA